CTCTAAGATCAGTAACCATTCTCCACTTACCAGACTTCTTCTTGACAACAAAAATAGGCGAATTCCATGCACTAGTTGATTCCTCAATATGTCCAGCATCTAGCTGTTCCTGAACTAACTTCTCCAAAGCCTCTAACTTCTCAGATGTCATAGGCCATTGACCCACCCAGACGGGTTCATCTGTCATCCATTTTAATGGTAGAGCTTTTGGTTGCTCTGTAGGTTTGGCACTAGCATCTTGCTTCTGTACAGCCTGTACATTTGGCATCTGTTTTCTGTAGTGTCTTACTATATTCTTACTACCACTAAGAGCTTGTCTATAATTCCTAGCTGATACAGGAGGAATTTTAATCTGCGCATTCCATTGCTGGAGTAGATCACGACCCCAGAGGTTTATAGCAATATCTGCAACATATGGCTTTAACCTTCCTCTCTGTCCTTCTGGCCCAATAAAGTCAATCCATCTAACGCTCTGTTTAACTTCAGATAGGGTTCCAATCCCTAAGAATTGAACATTAACCTCTTTTAAAGCCCTGTTGTGTGGCCAGGACTGCTGATTAAGGATAGTGACGTCACTTCCGGTGTCCAGTAATCCGTAAATCACCCTATTATTTACCTTAACTGGAAGTTTGGGTCTATGATATTGTATAGAAGTTAGCCAAAATATATGTTTTGTATCTCCTCCTGATGTAATTGATTCATCCTCTGGAGCTAATGTATTATCCAGTGCCGTATTATTTACAATGGGCAGTGGATCTTCTAATTGTCCTGGGAGAGGCTGTCCTCCACTGTCACTGGGAATGACCGGATAATCTTCCTTTTCGGGGCTCCATTGAGCCCCGGAACCCCGTTTCCCTGCTGTAAAGATCTACCTTGTCTGTCTATTGTGGAAAAGCATTCATCAGTCCAATGGTGTCCCTTCCCACACCTCCTGCATAGACCAGGAGGCTTAGGCCTTCTGTTTGATACATTCCTGGTAAAAGCATTATTTCTCGGAATGCGTTGTCTACAGTTCCTACTAAGATGTCCTATTCTACCACAGTTAAAGCATGTTGCATCTTTACGCCTATTTAAATTCTTTGAGATTGCCTTCCCTACCCATGCCTCTATATCATCACAGGTAGGGTATTTGGCATCCTGGTGCCTCCTCAAGCCTGTAGAAATAGCTTCACCTACCCAAGCTCCTGTATCCTGACTTTTACATTCCAGGTTCGCTGTATGTAGGACCCATTCCTCCAATGGCGCTGATCTTATTTTTAATGGCCAAATTACCTGCCTGCATTGAGGATTCGCGTTCTCATACGCCAAAGATTCTATAAGAAGACGCCTGGATTCTGGGTTCGCTACCTGTACTTCTACTGCTCTGGATAATCTCTCTAAAAATTCAGTGAACCTTTCCCTTGGGCCCTGTAATACCTTGGTGTAGGGTTGCATTATCTCTCCTGTTTCACAAACCTTATCCAAGGCAGTTAAAGCAGCTGTACGGCACAAAGACAACATGTGCTCGTCATATGCAGATTGAACCTGCGTGTCAGCGTAAGGACCCTCCCCAAGAATCTTGTCTTGGGGTACTTCATGACCGTTCTGTAATTCCTGAATTTCTATTGCTTTTGCTTCTTGCCTCCACAAAGCCCTCCATTGAATTTGACAAGAATTTTCAAGCACTGCAGAGGCTAATTGGGCCCAGTCTTTTGGGGTTACTTTATTTACAGTAGCCCATGAGGTTAGGAGCTCTCTGACAAAGGGAGAATGAAGACCATACATGACAATGGCCTCCTTAATATTTTTTAGATCCTTCATCTGTATAGGCTCCCAGTGATAAGCAATGGGACCATTTGATTGTTTTTCGTTGCTGGTTTTTCTGTTACAGATACCGGAAAAACCATAGGGGAACGCATAGCAACCTTAGGGAAATCATTCCGGCATTTGAGAAGCTTTGGGAAACTCCTGTCCTGACCTGTTGCCTGTATTTCTGATTCTGAAGTATCAGATTGAGCATCTTCTAAATCCTGCAGTCTATTCATCATTGTTTCTCTGAGCTCTTGAAGTTCTTGGGACAAATAATTTTCTAAGGACGTCATGGAATCTTTCATTTTTTACATTCATTATTTACATGTGATTCCAAATTTCTAATATTCTCATCCTTAGCAAGTACCTCAATAGCATGTAAACTGCCTTCTACAAATGATATTCTATCAGTTAGTTTATCATTGTTCTCAGACATGGAACAATTCTTTTCTGCTAGCATTTCAATTTTATGTTCCAGTCTTTGTAATTTGCTAGTGAAATCATCAAACATGGAACCGTGTTTTTCGTTAAATGTTTCCACATTATGTTCCAATTTCTCAATTCTATCTGTGGAACACATTTTTCCTGATAGTAATTCAATTTTGTGTTCCGTCACTTTAAACCTGTTCGTCAGACCTACATTATCATTTTTAATATCCTGAATATTATCTACCAACCCTTTCTTACTCTCCTGCAATGAATTTTGCACTTCCTGAATCCTTTGTATTAAGATTTCAAAACTATCCTGCGATGACTGTATGACCTGTATAAGTTTATTCCTATTTTTGAGCCATTTCATTAACAAAATTATATTGATTATGAAGCTAATAATCACCATCGTGGGTAGGAAGTACCTTTCAGGTAGGTCCTCAACCCTTTCTAAAATCCCATCCATACAAAAAACAAGAAAATTCTTAACATCCTGCATCATAGTGTTAGCTGTTGACATTGTATAAAGCAGTTACGTTTGTTACCAATGGAGTAATTCAGGCCGAAATCAACAGGCTGCCAGCGAAAGAGCACGTGGCCGGAGTCAGCAGGCCGCCAGTAAAACAGCACGTGGCCGCAAGAGAAATCTTGGAATACCGCCTAACCTTACCGGCAGGTAGTAGGTGCTGGTTCCTGGCGGCAGGAATCGTGCCTTGCTGAGCGAAGTGGTGAGGAACTTAGTGAAAGGAGAGTCCATGTGTGCCTGGTCGGGCCGAGAGAAGCTGCTTTTCTGGGTGCCTAGGTCCGGATTCCAATCCCACCGCTGCCACCAAACTGTAGGCTTTCTTTAACGGACGCTGTAACAATACGCGACACACAATTACTGACAGTAAAGCTAAGTATTTAATGTAGAAAATTACTCACAAGATACCAAACCCAGAGGAGCAGTTTTCAGTGGCTGAACCGGAAGCCGATCTCCAGGAAAAGAGACCGAGACTTCCTGTGTGCTGTCTTTTATGCCTTCCCCCCGTAACGCCCCTAGCCATGCCCAAAAGTGGGCCTAGCTAGTGACGTAGTTCCGCCTACGTACGTATACGTCTTTAGTCCTGCCTAAAGTGGGTGTGGTTAGCGGTGTGGTAAACCGCCCTTTTATTACCTCATCTGTATGCGCCTCTAATAAGTCACATGTTTAATGGCGGCATCAGACTTCCTCCTACAGGTTTTTGTTATACATACAGAAGGATCAGAATGTAAGTTTGAATGTTATCCAGGTGTAATATTTTACTTCCTATGGCACCAAGAGATCCAAGAAAATGTTCAGTTCAAGCCTTAGTAAACCAATGAGTTTGTTGAATCTACTTATAGGAGCATGGATTGGGCATTATTTGTAGAATCATGGTATGAGTGGCTCAAAATTTGGTGAAAATTCCTACCTCAAAGCTAATCCCAAAAGCTGCACCACTGATGCTCCTCCCCTAGTCAATGTTTCTCTTCCTATATTCTCTAACACCTATCAAAGATCCTGTGAAACCAAGGTGCCAAAGTACTAATGGGTGGAATATCAGGAGGGGGCCTGGCGATCCCCCCCCATTTCTACCTAGGGCATATTAACAGTTCCATTTTGATTGCCATAGGCTTGCTTATCATTGTATCATTTTGACTTCAATGTTGACTTACATGGGGTTTTCATTACTGTGATGAAACACTATGACCAAAAGGCAAGTAGGGAGGAAAGGGTTTATTTGACTTATATTTCCACACTGTAGTCCACTAAAGGAAACCAGGACAGGAACTCAAACAGGGAAGGAACCTGGAAGCAGGAGCTGATGTAAAGGCAATGGGGGATTGCACTTTACTGGCTTTCTCTCCATGGCTTGCTCAACGTGCTTTCTTATAGAATCTAGGACCACTAGTACAAGGGTAGTGTACCCAAATTTGGCTGGTCCCTCTCTCATCAGCCAAAGAAAATGCTGTTCAGTTTTGCCTACAGCCCAATCTCATGGAAGAATTTTCTCAGTGGAGGCTCCTTTCTCCCTGATGATTCTATCTTGTGTCAAGTTGACATAAAACAAGGCAGGAAAACTGTCACAATGGCCATAACTGCCACAGCAATCCATTCTATACAAGCTGACCAGAGGAAATACTATTACTTCAACAAATATGGATGATATTTGAAGTCTTGATAAGGTTACACAGAATAAAATGTAGACAGAATGCAAGTTTTCTGAAGCTTTCACCCAAGGACATACCAATGTACAGAAATTGAAAAGAGCAATTTTCAATAATACTATGAGTGGCCTGTTAAAATAGGGACAAGAAGAAACACCGACAATGATACCAAAATCAATGGTAATATATGTGATACCAAGATTTTCAACAACCTACACTCCTAGAGAATTTAACAAAAATAATCTATTTCATTTAAAATATGAAAAGGTATATTAAATATAGGTATAGTAATATTAATATCACCTAACTAGTAAATAATCAAACCGTTGAAAAAAGTATACATTTGTGATTATGTTAATGAATTAATTTTAGAATCAAATGAGGAAGAATTGTCATTTCTACACATATTATGTGGAATATTTATCATGCTTCTTTTGACAAAGTCTCGCATAATTCCCTAAAAGATAATCAAAAGACAAAGTAATGAAATATGGAGGTCTCCACTGATGGTAAGGGAAATGCCTCTTGTTACCTATTTTGGCACTGAATATGCATGATTTCTGTTTCTCAGTAAAAGCTCATTGATGTTGTTGTCATCTCTCCTCTTTCCACAGGTGGGGAAGTCCCATACACAACTCTGGCAACCCGAATGATGATGGGGGCATGGTGGTTATTTGCTCTGATTGTCATCTCATCATATACAGCAAACCTTGCTGCTTTCCTCACTATCACCCGCATTGAGAGCTCCATCCAGTAAGTAGGCACAGAAGCCAGTAGTCATCAAACATAACAAATGCTGGGAGTGCCACAGGGAAAAGTCTCTAAACATAAATGTGAACTATCTGACATAAATTGTTACTCTCTTTTTGAGCAAAGGATATTGATATTCAATTGATATTGATACTCAAAGAACATTGATACTGAATATCAATCCTAAGGAACTTATTTGTATAAAATGTTGATTATAACTTAAATATTGCTTTCTGTATTTCCCTGAAAGGGTAATACATTATCAAAATTTTATGCTTCACAGAGCATAACTATATCAGGGCAGGAAAAATGACTCAAAACCATATGTTATTCCACTTCCAAGGGATCCAATACCCTTTATTAGGCTCTTACATCATTGTACATGCAAAGTATACAAACATATATTCAGGAATACACATACAATGAAAATAGATTTTTAAACGTAGTAACTATGTCATAGAAAAATCATGAAAAACTAGGTCTTAAAGAACCTTGCGAAATAAAACATCTTTCCAATGAGTTTGTCCTATTTTGTGCAATCAGAGTAAATTGCTAAATGAACATACCAGTTAGGATGTGAGGAGAGAATGGGAAGCTTGGAGACCAGAAGAAAGAGGGAAAGAGAGAAGGACAGATAACATACAGAAACTGGTGTGCTAGTTACCATACACTGCTTGCCCACATTAATATCCATGAGATCACTATCACTGTTTGTTCTCCAACATCAGTAACAGTGATGGGAAATGGTTGTTAATCATGAACCACTCACTTCTTCACTTACAGAAGTTTTTGCTTCATATCATAAGGGACTTTCCCATGAGCTCTGACCCTGAGGCATTTTCAACCTTTATGGTTTCACACTACAGAAGCTGCAGCACCATACTGTACCTGCCACAAATAGACACAGTATCCTACATACTATCTAAAAGCATCCCCCTAAAATTGTCTTATTTAATCCCAAACAAAATGGTTTAATGAAATGTCAACATTAATGCCCCCAAACTGGCTAATTCAAAATAAGAACAACTAGAAATGTAGATTTCCCTGAGTCAGCTTCCCTCAAAGAAAAACACAAAACTTCTTCCCTCTAAAGCATATGTTAGTGAACTTCATTAATATCCAGAAAGTCATTATAAAATAATGCCAAATCAATAATTAGTTATTTATAAAGAAGCTCATTGTAGCCTGGCATTGGTGGCACACGCCTTTAATCCCAGCACTCGGGATGCAGAGGCAGGTAGATCTCTGTGAGTTCAAGGCTAGCCTGGTGTACAAATCAAGTTATAGGATAGGCTCCAAAACAATACAGAGAAATGTGGTTTAGGAAAAAAAAGTTCATTCAAGCTACAATATGAAATTGAAACACCCAAATGTCAACTAGTAATACTCACAGGCAGCCAATTCCATTATCCATTTGTAGAAACAATACTTCTAAATCCACCCATCAAATCAGACTCCTCAAAGTGTTTTGTAATTGTTGCTTTAGTGCAGACCCTTCATACATTCCCAATGTATTCCTCTTATAACCAGCTCTATGGGTAATACAAATTATAAATAATGCTGAGTAAAATGTGGGAGATTAAGTACTAATGAAAACTATTAAAATAGCCTAGGAAGAAAATTGATGAAATTAGTAACATCATAAAAATAATAACCGTTTACTGATTAGTTATCAGAAACCAGGATTTAGGCTATTATATGATGATTAGCTCATCACCATCTTCTAAACCCTGTACTATTCGTGACACATTTCACAAATGAAAAAACTGAAGATTAGATGCCAAGAAACTTTCATTTTCATGCAGTGAATATATGGTTACAGAGCAGATATTCAGGGTGTCTGGCACCTGAGCCTGTGTTCTAAGGCATTGCAACAGTTCTCATTCCCCACACCCAAACCTTCATGTGCCATCTGTGTTTAGAGAAAGAAGTATCAGCCTTAAGAATAAGGAATTCAGGGCAAAGGATTTACTGTTTAAAATGTTTTACAATTCTAAATTGGTCTGTAACAATAGCAATGACTTCCATGTTTAGCCAGTTTTGTTAGCATACATGCCAACATGAGTTAATCACACCTATGATTGCTCTGTGCCCCTCTAATCAAAATATTTTGGCATATCTAGTCAAATAAAGATTGAACATAATTAAAACACAAACTGTGACAGTCTAACACGTGCATGCATCATACATTAATTCCTAATACTGCCCACACTTTCTCTTAATTATCCCCAGTCGTGTTCATTTTGTAACTGACTTTGTGCCTTGGGACAACCATCTCCTTCCTTCCTCCACCTCACTGGGCTTTCACCATTGTTCCCATCTTTTCCTTCCATGGGTTTGACTTTGTACTACAATAATTGTGTCTCTGTGTTTGGCTCATTTCACTTAGCTTAATGACTTCTGTGCTGATCCGTGTGGTAGCAGATATTAAGTGGAAAAATGGCTTTTCGGAACAAATTGGATTGTTAACCTTACTAACATACTTTTTTCTTTGTGTGTGTGGTTTTTTGTGTTCTGTTCTTTGTTTGTTTGTTTGTTTGTTTGAGGCAGGGTTTCTCTGTGTAGCTTTGGATCCTGTCCTAGAACTCACTTTGTAGATAAGGCTGGTCTCGAACTCACAGATATCCACCTGCCTGCTCTGCCTCCCGAGTGCTGAGATCAACAATAATATTTTAATTTGGGGGGATTATAATAAAATTATATCATTTCTCCCTTCCATTTCTTCCATCCAAACCTTTCCAGGAATTCATGTGTGTGTGTGTGTGTGTGTGTGAGTGTGTGTGTGTGTGTTCATAGAAATTTAATATACCTTACTAAGCATGTATAATGTTACTTGTATGTGTTTTTGAAGCTGACTATTTGGTATTGGATAACCAACTGGTATGTTCATTCCTAGAGAGACTATTTCTTCCTCCCTCAGCATTTCGAGGCCTTGTTAGCCCTTTACCTCATTCATCCATGTTAGCATATCTTATTGGTGTTGTCCTTGTTCAGGCATGTTTAGACAGACATTTTGGTGGTATTTCATGGGTACACACTTTTAAAAATATACTTATTAATAATGCCTAACTGAACTGGCACATTTAAATATGCTTAATGTACTGTTTACTTTTAGTTTTGAAACATTTTAAATAAGCAAATAACATCTATTATTACGTGCAATACTAATCATAGTAGTAAAAAATTATGTCTTGTACTTATTGAGGATATACTACTATCTAGACATAAGTATTTTGCAGTTATTATCTCATTTATTCTTCAAAGTACCTGTCACAACGTAAGTGCTAGCGTTATTTCCATTTTGTAAATGAAGAAACTGAACATTAAAAGCAAAATGCTCAAGATCACACAGTAAGCACTGAAGTTGGTGGTCTAATGTATGTCAACCCCAAGCCAATCCATATTCTTGACACTGTAGTTAGTTCATTATCTAGTGCTGCTTCCTCTAAGTTGCTTAACCCAAGGTTTTCCTGAGGGCATAACTAGTGGGGTATGTGTGAATCTTAGCTACTAAGTTCCTAGCACCAGGTCCTTTCTAGACTACTTTAACAGAGGAAGCAGACACCACTTCCAAATCTATATTCCCGAAGCTTCCTTCAAAAGTAAAATTTAGTGGGTGAAAAATGTAATTTTGCTTGATGTTTCCCTCAAGTGTAGTTCTACGTTCCAGTGTAACTGATCATTCATTTCCTTAAAAATTATTCCTTTCCAGTGTCAACAGCATTATGAAAAGTTTCAGTGGGTGTAATAAATTGCTACTTCCTCCTAATACTATCATCTGAGCAATTTGGGAAAGAATCAATGCCAAATAAGTTACAGCAGTCTGATTTGCTCGCAAAATTTATAGATAACTTCAAAGTTCATGCCTTACCTTTGTGGTAAACACAAATGCCTGTAACACTGCTTGAATACAGACTTCCACCTTTAAGTGATGCCAGTTTCTTTTAACATCCCCACTCTCTTTCCTAGAGAAGGTACATTCCACACTCTCACACAGTGCCATCTTAAGCTCTGGTGTTCGTAAAACTAGTTCCTCTCTGAACTAAACGGTGAGTGTTGACTCACCTCCCTCAGCACAGTTTGCCATGCCATTGGCCAAACACAGACTGTGTATATCTTCATTCCCCTAAAGCAGAGACTCTATCCTAGGTGGGCTGGAAAGAGGGACATGGAGTAATGTCCTTGAGAAAGGTAAACACCGGCCCTTTTGAATTGATATCAGTTGCAATCTAAAATGTGGAAAATGGATTTTCCTTGTAAAAGATAACCCTTAGGTTTAAGTCTCCTGCCTTTTCAATGAGGATATGGCAAAGAATTAGATGAATGAGATGACCAGTTCAGATTCCAAGGGGAAAATGGTAATGACTTTTGTTTCTGTTGTTGTTTTGTGGTTGTGGTTTAGTTGGTTTGTTTACTTAAAAATAGAATGTGGTGCTAAAGACATGATTCAATGGTTAAGAGCACTTGCTCTTGCAGAGGAACAAGGTTCAGTCCCCAATACCACATGCAAGTTCACAATCATCCACAATTCCAGTTACAGAGGATCTGATACTGTCTTCTGCTCTCCATAGATAACCAGGTACAGATGTGGTACACACACATATACATAAACAAAACACTAATATTTAATATTTATAAAACATTTTAATAATAAAATGCTTGATTTTTCTACTGGTACCCAAGCTAAAAATGGCAATGGTGACTGGGAAGTTTTGAAAGTGTAGTCAGTATTGGCACTTGGTAAGGGCAGAGACAGTAGCTCAGCAGTATCTTAACCTTACAAGGATCTTGGGTTAAATACCCAGTAACACACACATGGACACAAAACACAGTTTTACAGCACCATCATGTTTTGCCTTTAGTTTACTATTTTTTCCAAAAGCTAATTATCATTTAACATCAAAATAAATAGAGCAATAGAAAATCATAATTGTTCAGCTGTACTCATTAGTAACTGTACAGTATGATTAATCTTTTTGACTACACTTGATTATTTTTATTTC